CCCCAAAACCCCAAAACCCCAAAACCCCAAATTAATTTATTAATGGATTAACTTGATCATTAAATTTAATTAATTCCAAATAATGAGCAATATTTAATAGTGATTACGTAGTATCATCACTTTCTTGATTCTATGTATAATTTCTATTTCAATCTTCTTTGTATTTAAGAGTCCAGCTTACGAATGGCAGATGAACTACCCAGTCTAGCATCTAACTTACTTTAGGTCCAATAACTGGGATCATTTCAGCTAATTTGAAGAATACAAACATCAGCTTGCACATAAATCTGACTACTCTCTCGCATACGTTGAAGTACAAATACATAGGTAGCATTAGAATTGTTCTAATGAGAGCTAGGAATGAAGAAAATGCATTGTCAAGTTCACGTCTTTTCTCTTCCTCCTCTTATGTTTACTATAGTTCTTCTTCAGTTTTTCCTTATTCATCGTTTCCTTAGGCTTCTTATGTTGCTAGTACTTCATCTTATTACTGCTTTCTCTGCTTCTCTTTTTCTTCTTATTGGCTAATCATTTTCTTACTGAACTCTATCTCTCTCTGGCGAGAAATGTCTTGCTTTTCCTTTAATTCATGAAGTGCTTTAATAACTTCTTAATCTTTATTATTGCTAAGTTCTAATGCTCTATTGAAATCTTCTTTGGCTTTTCTGAATTCACCAATCATCATATACGCTCTACCTCTTCTATACAATGCCTTTTGATTATTTTCATCTTTCTCAATAACTTGAGAAGCATACTTGATACTATAGTGATACTATTCTATCTTTAAATAGCTGAGACTTAGATTCAAGCAAACTGGTATTTCTATTTCCTTTATGTACTTAATAGCAGTCTCATGATCTCCAATAATATTATTCTCGTTCTCAAACAGCATCTTCATACCAAAGAGACTCTTATTGTAATGCATAACAGCATTCTCAAAGTCTTTCCTATTAGCTAATATGTTTCCATTCTACTTCTCAATATAAGGTACATTGAGTTTGTCTTTGTTTGTCCTCGTAGGATAATCCTCAATGACGTCAGCTTAATTCTTAGTGCCTGCGTTCGGATCAATTTGTTGTGATGACGCAGATGATGACTGATCTTAACTTGGTGCATCTTAATCCTAATCCTCTTCTTCCCTCTCAACTTCTTGCTCTTCATTTCTGGTACCCTCTTCTGTTTGATGATTTTAGGCTTCTTGCTACTATTCAATATTATCCTATTATGTGGCTGAGCTTTATTCTTATTATGGTTGCTTTTTCTCAGAGTCTTCCTCTTTCTATGACTCCTCTTAAGTTTTTGAAGGCTTTTCTTCTTATTTTGATTCCCCTTATTCTTACTTTTACTCCTTTAATTCTTCTTTTGAATCATCTACTTTCTAATCATCTTTCTCTTGCTTAACATAGGATTATTTCTGTTCTTAAGCTTCTTCTGATTTAATGTCCTATTACTCCTACTACTTATCTTCTAACTTAACTTCACTCTACTTTTGCTGATCCGTTTATTGTTATTGCTTGGTTTCTTCCTTTGGTTATAGCTACTGCTTTCCTTCTCCTGATTGTTCATTTTCTTTCTCATCTTCAACTTGAGTGGTCTAATTTGGTTTACTAGATTCTTTCACTTCAACTTCTTAACTTGATGATTTCTCTTCCTCTTAGCTTATCTATTCCTATGAAGCTTTTTCCTGATTCTATTATACTTCCTCCTGAGCTGGCTATTCCTCTTACTCTTACTAATCCTCTTCTACCTGCTCCTTTGACTCATCCGTCTATTTTTAATCTTGCTATTGATTCTATGACTAGGAAGTATTAGCCTTCTTCTTGTTTCTCTTTTTCTTGCTCTTACTCTCAGATTAGTTTGTAGTTTATTAAGTGGTATCCTCTTACTTCTATTGCTGATTCTAATCCTTCTCCTCTTATTTGGTCTGATCTTTTTCACTTTGATCTTTATTACTTTCCATGATCGTGCTAATATTGCTCTGTTGAATTTTTATCAATTATTATATGACGTAAATATTTATTAACTTGAATCACTAGCTACGTGTATCATTTACTTCAGACGGGGTTTTGGGGTTTTGGGGAGATCGGAAGAGCACACGTCTGAA